ATCCCATACCAGACAAGACGTCCAGCAACTGGTCTCCTCAGTTCCCAGACATTTACAGACTGTTGTTAAAAGAACAGGTAATGCTACACAGTGGAAAACCTGGTCCGGTCCCTACTTTTTAAAGGCATGTTTCTGCCATCCAAGTCAAATTGATGTTGCTTGTTTTCCCCTAAATAGCACATTTTCTCAGTTTAAACATTAAATATGTATGTTCTATCATGGTTAAAATGTGGGTTTATAAGATTTCCAACCTGCGTTCTTTTTTTATTTACATTTCAAACAGGATCCTGATTTTTTGGGGGTTTTTATGAGCGATTAAGCAGCTGCTCACCATATTTTTCGATGTGCTGACAGCAACTATCGACGACACGTGGCACCTGACGGTAAATGGGATTCAGGCTCAGCCTTTTGTCCCTGTGCTTCTCTTTTTTACTCGGCGTTTCAGCTGGCAGAGAGAGCTGCAGCGCCTCAAGCAAGCGGGACTGGTTGTCATCTAGGTCTGTGATGGAGTCCACTGACATGCCTCCCTAGAGGATAATCAACAAACACGGCTGAATAGAAAAAAAAACCTCCGCTTGATCTGTGCGGGCAGCTCAGGCTATGAGGAATTTCAATGCCTCACCCTCCTGCGCGCTCGTGGGGCAGCTTCAGGGGTGTTGGGCGATGTTGACTCATTAGCCGTTTCTGATGTGGAACTTAGCGACGAGTTACTGCTGGATAACTCCTTGTTGGACGGCCGCTTGGTGGCAAACTGCAGGACACATGATTTAAGAGGTCAATCTATTCTCTGGAGTGCAAATACATTTGTCCCAAATGTTCCCAAGACTGAAGATGGGAATTACAAGACTGAACACACAGAGGGAGAGCCATACAGACGAGCTGACGGACCTGTAAAATGGACGATACGAGGTCTGAGGAGTCTTTGTGCTCCTCCCGCTGTGGAGGGTCCTGACGAAAAGAATCCTGTCGTTGCCTGTGAGCTCTGTCGTTGGCGATGACCTGGGACAGGGGTATACTAAAGGCCTGGGGTATGAATTCTGTGAAAAAGAGCCAAAAGATGTTGGAGGACGAGAGGGAAAAACAGGAAAGAAAACAAAAAAAAAAAGGTTAGGGTAACTGAACTAATATTAGCTCCATGAAGAAATGGGAAAAAGAAGCTCCTTACCAACATCCAAAAATAGCTTTCCAGCATAAACAGTTAACAGCTTTATCACTTCTGCTGCAGCCTGCCTTTTACACACATGCAATGGAGGCATCTCAAACCACATTAACTATATCGGTAAAACTTTTACGGCACTACCAAAGAACTACATCTGTTTTCCAAAATAAGACATCACAGAAAGTCAACCGACGTAAATCCGGCTACGACAGCCCACTAATTCTAGGGGCCTCTGACAGAAATAACACAACTTTGATGACGCTCACCCACGACGAAGTCAACTTCAGTTGGTGCGCAGCTTTGACACATACTCGATATGAATAATGGTTACTTGTTATTCCTTTGCTCCATTTACCCTAGTCTTACATAAGCCCAGAATTCAGTGATGGCACAACTGCAAAATAGCAACCCTGCATTCACGTGCTCCTCTGATGGTCCAGTTGTAACGCTGCCTCTCGGAATATGTCGTTTGCCGTGACAGATTGTGCCGTTTCTGTAAGCAGAGCTGGCACAGAGAAATGCTTGGTGGTCATGCCGACAGTCAGCATCCGATGAGTCAGGC